TATTGTAATTTATCCGCGTTCTATATTGTATTATTGTTAGCAATACAACACAAAACAGAGTTAATAATAATTATAATAATTGTCCACTTATATTTCGGTCTTTGTTGCCACTGCTGCTGCTGTTGTTGCTGATGTGTTGTTCTTTTCCTCTCCTTTATCTGTTTCTGCTTTCGTTCATTGTTGTTGCTGTTGTTTGTTTGTTTGTATGTGTGTCTGTTTTTCTCTTATTAAGCTTGTCCTGTATAGATTTCTTGCTTGGTTCAGTATATCTCTAACATACCTTAAATTATATACACGTAATTCTCTCTTGCACATCAATCCTAGCTCAGTGCCATTTTGTTGTTTATCTAAAAGTAGGTGGTGGCCAACTAGAAAGCCTTTGCTACTTTGACCACCACACACATTTTTATAATCTGTACTTTATTTATTTTATTCTGTAATCATTTGTTGCAATTTACTTTTCTATCTGTGTTAATTTCATGTAAATAGTGTGAAATAAACGAACATATATCATCATATCTTGCTATAATCACCAAGTATGAGGTGACTATAGCAAGGGAACCACATTTCAAAATGGCTGCAGGGACATGTTTTGTCAATGTTACCCCTAAGAGATGAGGGCAGTAGATTAAGACAACTCAATTTGGATGAGCTTTTCAAAAGAAAGATATGACTTTTGTTTAGCTGATTATATTAAATAAACCTGTCAAATTCCAGTAAACACTGGCTGCTTATCTCAGTACAAAAACCAGTAATCAAAACAATTGTAACAGATCAAATGGTTTCAACAAGAAAAATATTTACAACAATATTTAAAAGAACCTGAGCAATTATACTAGACATTTATTTGTCTTGTCTTCTGCAAATAATTGTTAAATATCACAAAGAAAGATAATAAAACAACCTTTAATCTTTATATTTTTTAACTCAAGGCTTATCTAGCTTGTGCAGTGAGTGAGGACTTGTTCCAGCAAGTGTTTGGATTTGATTTTCACAAATATTATTTCATATATTTTTTATAGCCATATATGCTCCACTTAGCAACTCCTTTTTTGTTTTTGCTAGTTTTCAAGGCTTTCTTGTCCTAAACCAACTCGTGTAACATTATTACCACAAGGAGAGACGAGATTTTCTAGGCTATGTTGTGTTGGAAAAAAATCAATTGCAAAAAAAGAGCTTAATCTGTAAAATAGATACATGACCAGCCAAACTTTTCACTCAAAATAAAGAGGTCACTTTCAAGGAAACCACTTCTTCAAAGGATATATACACTATCCTTGAAAGTGTAACACAGGAGAAAATCAAATCCATAATTAAAAAAAGATGCCATGTCATTCCTGCAGTACCTACTGTGCTTAAAATTGATCACAATGAACATTCCATACCCACCCCCACACCCCTGATAGATATTGACACTATTTAGTGTTTAGTATAATTTCAGAGCTGAGCAAAGAGTTTCCAGCAATCTGATTGGTTGGGTGGTTCCTTGTATGATGCTATATAAACTGCTCCATGTGGTTTATATAAAATGTTGAAATAAAATGTTAATAACATATGTTACTAAAATGTTATGATTTTAGAAATTTCTCTGTTGTTCAGCTCTGAAATTATACTAAAACAATTATTCACCTTAGGTTTGGTGGATATTGTTGAATAATCCCCGAGACTTTGTCTCGGGGCTCGGGGATTATTCAACGATATTCACCTCGCCCTCGGTGAATAATTGTTAAATAGTGTACAGATATACAGTTGAACCTCGATTATCCGGACTTGTCAGGACCTTGGTAAATAGTTCGGATAATTGAAAGTCTGGATAATCGAAAATATGAATATTAATGAGATAGAAGTGTACACAAAAGGTATACAGCAAAGAAAAGATCATTTTAATTGTGATATCTACACAGCCTGTATTTACAGGTAATGCATCAGAATATTTCTGTCTCGTCCACTTGCGAATTTTGAAAAGCGCACAGGATAATATGCTGTTTCAACAGTCTTTTAAAAGGATTATTGGGCTTTTTGCAAATCTGAGTTTTTAAGATCACAACTCATTAATATTCATGAAAAAAATTGGGACCAGAGAAGAAAGTCCCGATAATCGAGGTTTGACTGTATCTATACTTTCATTACATACACTGCTAACATCATTTTCTAACCCAGTTTACCTCCTACCTGATCTTATGTGAGTTCAGTGGGGCTTGTTCCTTTCTTTTCAATTTAGGCTTCTTCTTCTTCTTTTTTGCAGCAGCAGCTTTCTTTAATTCTTCCTCTTGTTTCTTCCTTCTGAGCCATCTGTTGTAGGAAAATATTTGCATACCATAAGAAGGTCAGGACAAACTCCTGCCTGAAGTTTGGGGTTTACGGGACTCTTCTTTTCTTTCAGTTTCACAAGTGACATTACCTGGAAACCAGGCTTTTATTTTCAGATCAATTAGTTAAGTGAGTTTTCTGGTTAATACCAACAGCTTGATAAATTGACTCCTGAGCAGACAGACCTACTAGGGATAGGGGGAGGGTGGTTGGAATTTATCCTGCTTCAAAAATCAATTTTAAAAAAATTAATTTGTCCTGTGTACTTCTCTTAAACAAAATTCTATACTTAAGAAAATTTAAAAAAGGGGAAAAAACAGCTCCCGGCTTATTATTCATCATCAGGAGGCAAAATTTTCATTTAAAGTGATAATTTCTCACTGCGGGATGTACATCACTCACTAAATCTCCATAATTTTTGTTATAATGGCTACTTAATTGAATGCTCGGGAGGAGACACGAAGAGAGGAGGACAAAGGGTAGCTGAGAGTCTGCAATTTGAAAGTAGCTGTAAAATGTCAAAAAGTTCAAGCTAGCAGATCAATTTTGGCCAGAAGTTCATCAATAGTCCATTTTAGAGTTGTGTGCTTGGTTGCCAAGCCTTTGAATGGGAGTGAGGCTAGGGTTGACCTTGTTATGATACCAACCTTGCTGCCTTTCAAATGTAAATCACTTTGTTATCATGCTAAGTAGATACAGGTCTCTATCACAACAAGGTCATCTTCAGCCTCACTCTGAATTAAAGGCTTGGCAACCAAGTACACAACTGTAAAATGGCCTATTTCCTGCCAAATATCAAAGGAAAACAGAGGAAGCAACCCGTGCCACACAAAAACTGAAATTTTCATTATTTTAATTTTAATTAGTGGAATAGCTTGCAAACTTGAAGATCGATCTACAAGTCCCAAAAAGCTAAAGGAATGCAAAACCTTGACAGTCACTGTATGTGTCTGCTACCTGGCTTTTGACTTTTCCTTCCCTATGTGGATGATTAGCAAATCTTTAAGGATCACTATGATCTCCTGAGTGTTTCAGTTATTAAATACATAAGCTTGATCATTCTAAAGAGATAGTTTGGAATTCTGGTATCAAGAACTTCACCATTAGATGATTGGTGTGTGTTGACCATCACAAAAACTCACTTATATAGACCACTTTCATAAATGGCTGCTGGATTAATATTCTTTTGTTTAAATTTGATTATTTAGCCCTTCTGGCCTCGCTTGAGATAATGTATTCTTTTTAATTTTGTACTGGAGAATGGGGCCAGAAGGGCTAATTTAAATTTAGACAAAAGAATATTAATCTGGCGGCCATTTATGAAAGTGGTCTATATCCAAGGCAAACAGATGTTGGGGAATGGTAAGGTCTTTACGAATACAGTGCAAAACAAAACTTATTGGTTGCACATATCTCTAGAAGCAAATCATACTTTGCATACAAGCATAAATTCATAAATCATGCTCACTCATGTTATAATAAATTTCACACGTCTAATACTTATTTTGGCCATAATTGTCATCATGTTACACACCCTTTGTCAATCCTCTACTCATTTAAAATGTAGAGATTAAGAATAATTATTACTTAAATTATCAACACTAAATATAAATCAAATGCTTCCATAACAGTAGGAGAGAATGGGTAGATTATCCTATTAACCCTTTAACGTCCAAGATCTGACTCTTAATTCTCCTTGAATGCTATAGTTGATACACATTTCCTTGTAAGTTAGTTACAAGGATTTGGTGTTAGATGAAGATAACAACTTTTTCCTGATAAGTTTGAGTATTCTCATTACCTGTTTGCTACATGGTGTATAGATGTTATTAGGAGAAGTTACATGTCCATCACTTCTGGGAGTTAAAAGTTTAATAAAAAGGACTAATATTCACCCACCTTCTAAATGCCTCATCACAAAGTTGCCGATCTCTTATTGTGTACTGAGAGGCTTCCTCTTCTCTTCTTCTTTCCTCCAGTTGTCTCAGTGTCTTGTCTTGTTGTCGCTTCATATCCAGCCATTCACTGTATGCTGACTGGGCATTACTTTCTTTTTCCTCTTTGGCCCTTAGTGCAGCCTTGGGGTCTGGTTGATTTAATCTTGCCTGCTTGGCGGCGTCTATTTTATTATATAACCAAACCTGTGAGAGAAAATACGGTTTTCAATAAGTTAAAGAAATCTCTTTTTAAAGAAACTCTTAGATTTTGAGCAAACTTGACTGATGTTCTGTCAAAGCAGTCATATGCAGTGCTAGTGTTAAGTGGTATACACTAGTAATTTAGTCCCAATGAGAGCATCAATAAAGCAGCTACTTAACAGGTAGAATGGATCATTTCACCATCTTGACTTTGAAATTTACCACTCTGGCTTAATCAACTCATCCCAAAAGTTCAACTGAAAATGGTGCCACCCTCCCACTTACCACACAAAATACATGTTGAGATCCTCCAGCCAAAAACAGTATCTCAGGATAATTTATACAAATGGCAGTTACTAAAACAAGGAACGACCCACAGAATGACCCAAAACAGCCCACAACGATCCACATCCATCCTCAAATGACCGAGGACAATACCACAACAAAAGAAACCAACGATACCATTTCTCAAAGTCCCTAACGGGTTAGCAAAAATTTTCACTAAAATGCCTCAACATCATAAAAATAGCATTCTTAAGCTGGCTGTAGGTTGTTGTACTTGGTTTTAGGTCATTTTATTTTTTTAGTATTTATGTTCACCAGATCTGTCAATTTTCCCACGAATGTAATTGAAACCAATCTGTCATGTCATCACGTACTGGTCCATAATTGATCGCAGTGAGAGATGTTCATTGTGAATGAAACCGCTCTATACCAGAGGTTTTTTATCGCGGTTGCTCGCGCTGGCGGCATTAAATCTTTTGAGGAACATCAACAACTGTTTATACCAAACAAAATATGGTTGCTATTTAGCTTTGCTTACTCGAGTTAAAATAAATGCGCTGTGGCTATATGGGCGGTAACCAGTCAAGGTGTTAAAAACATTAAATGACCAGAAGTCTGACATTTTTAAAAAAAAAAAATATAAAATCAAAGAGTTGTAGCTAATCCAAACCATCTGCCATCTCGATGGTCATTGTCATAACACTAGTACACTGCAATCCCAGTTCACTTTGCTAGCAAAGAAATCGGCAAGAAAGTATAGCCCGTTGTGGCACGAATGTAGATGGATGTTTACAGAGAGCAAAGCTGATGAAACTTTTCATGTGACTTATAAATATCTTTATTCGGTGGCTGGCCAAAGAGACATCGATCGGATTTATAAATGTCTCTCTGAATGGAGATGCTTTCTCGTGAAAAGCTGCATTTGCTCATTTATTTTGCCCTGTTTTTGACAACCCTATGAATGTGTTACAGGACTATCAAAGGTATTCTGGGTAGTTGTAAGTCGTTATGTTTGCTATTCAGTATGCTTTTCAATTTTTTTTTTTGTGGTTTCTTTTGTTGTGGGATCGTTGTGGGTCGTTTTGAGATCGTCCTCAGTCGTTTGAAGATCGTTGTGGGTTGTTGTTGGTTGTTCCGGGTTTTAGTGATTACATTATACAAATAACCAACCAAACAAGACACTAGACCATTCTTAAAAATTTTAATCTAGAAAAAATTACATTGACCAGAAAGTACAAAAAGATATGTCAAATGTACTGGTCTATGAATCAACGTGGTCTATGAATCAACGATTGAAAAAAATTGGAGTATCCCCAGAAGGAGTTTACTCACTGTGTGTTCTACAATCAATTTAATCAACAAGCCTCTTGCTTTTGAAATATGGGAGAACCAGACTAATACCCGAAAAAATATGGATACTGAAAACTTTGATCTAAACTTTATTTAAAAAATATCAAATTACCTTTAACGAGTCACGGAGCATAACTTCGTGGGTTTTGTTATGACCCAACTCCCCAAATTTAACACGTCTCATATTTTCAAAGTGTCTGAGAAGCTTTTCATTTTATTGTAGTTCGAGGTAACACAGGGGGCCCACACAAGCGGCGTGTCTAGTTGTTTGTTCAAAAAATAAATAAATGTATGGGAGAATATTGGAGAGGTGTAATATTGTAAACTTATATCATGGAATCTCTATGTTAAGGCTCAAAATAAATGTAAACCTACCTCATTTGCTGTGTATTGTTGTTTCTGTGGTTCTAAATGGCGAATTTGAGTGATTTGGTAGATTTTGCGTGGACTGTTACCTCAGGTAGATTTTGCTTTGACTGTTACTTTAGTAGATTTTGCGTTGACTGTATAAGAAGGAGACAAGGGTGGAAAGCTCATTTTCGACCGCTCCAGCACAAAGCAGATTTTCACCCAGAAATTAGAATCGCCTAGATTCCAAATTGAACACCAGATAACCTAAAGGTTGACACTTCTTCTCATGTCATTCAATTGAAGAACCATTCAAAATCCAAGCGCTAACGGCCAAAAAACTTTGGAGAAATGCAGCTTTCCTAGCGATCAGCATCCGCGGCACAGATTTCTTGTGCCAGGGAGCAACTGTCACGCTGTTTGCTCCACGCTGATTGGATGATGGTAAACAATGCCCTGTTTCAAATGCCTCATGTGAGAGGGGAGTCAGGGGTATATTCGTGCTGGCGATTCATCTACTGACTAGCCTGGTGTGAGGTTTATGGCGTGTCAGTAGATGAATCGCTGGCACGAATATGTCCCTGACTCCCCTCTAATGTGAGTCATTTGAAACAGGGCATTGTTTACCATCATCCAATCAGCATGGACCAAACAGCGTGATGGTTGCTTCCTGGCACACGAAATCTGTGCCGCAGATGCCAATCGCTTGGAAAGCTGCATTTCTCGAAAGTTTTCGGCGGTTAGTGCTTGGATTTTCAATGGATCTTCGATTGAATGACACGAGAAGAAGTGTCAACCTTTTAGTTTATCTGGTGTTCGATTTGGAAGCCAGGTGATTCTAATTTCTGGGTGAAAATCGGCTTTGCGCTGGAGCGGTCGAAAATGAGCTTTTGCCTCCTTCTTATACAGTAAAGTAACAGTCAAAGCAAAATCTACCAAATCACTCAAATTCATCATTTAGAACCACAGAAACAACAATACACAGCAAGTGAGGTAGGTTTACATTTATTTTGAGCCTTAACATAGACATTCCTTGATATAAGTTTACGATATTACGACTCTTCAATATTCTCCCATACATTTGTTTATATTTCGGACAAAACAACCAGATACGCCGCTTGTGTGGGCCCCTGTGGTTCGATCTACGGATTATACCTAATAAGTATGCAAAAAGTGGCCGAAATTCCATATATGCCAGCCCAATACCTTATGATGGCAAAAGGTGAAAACTGAAAAATCATTCCATCCTAAGTGTGTCAATAAAATGTTAGTAAAGGACTTGAAGTGTAACATGATATGAAATAAAGGCTAGTTTGTTGTGTTATGTTTGTAAGAAAAATACATGTAAGCTTTCAATCGAAGAAGCCTTAATTTGGCGCCATAATATGTGAACGTGCGTAAATTCCGTGGATCCGGACGAATTAAGTTTATAAAGGCCTGGCTTCACCTACAACATAACTTTTATTATACATACCTGGAAAGCTCTGTCCGCATCGTCTCTTTTTCTTTGCTGTTCCTCACGTTCTCTTTCCTCTTCTTCCTTTTGCCTCCTTAATTTTGCTTCTCTACATTTCCTTCTTATCTCAAGCTGCTGTTCAGTCATTGCGTATTCCGATCTTATATGAGCATATTCATCATTTCTCTGTCGAATCGCCTTTGCGCTCTGACTTCGAGTTCTATCAACACTCCTTGTATTTCTTTTCTTTTCGTTTCTCCGATGCTGTTCGTGAACCGAAGTAGTTTTTGGTCTTGGTCGTGACTCAGGTTTTTCCTCAGGGATTTCCTTGTCATCAATTTCAGTTGTTTCGCTGCCTTTTTCTTCGCTTCCGTTGTTTTCGCCAGTAGTTTCAGGTGATATTCCCAACATTTCGTAATATTCTGCTTTGATCTCGCTTACATCTACAAGTTCGAATTTGCCGTCACGTTCTATGAGAACCCGGTCACCGATCATCTCCATTGCAGGACTTTTGGCGGGCGACGAAGCTGAAGAGTCTTCTTTGTTATTAATTTGTGCGGATTCACCCGGCTCATCATTATTAACTTTTCCAACTGATTCGCGTCTGTCATTTGTCGCTGCATCGGCTTCGTCTTGTAGGGTCACGCCATTTTCGAAAGCTTTGGTAACTTGTTCGTCCTCTGTTGATCTCGAATCTCTGACAAAATCATTGGTCGAGGTCGCGTCGTTATGTTCCTCTACTTTCTCGCCTTCGTGTAACTGTTCATTTTCAATCTGTTCATGCTCCTGCATCATTCTCGTTTCTTGCTCGTCAATACTGCTGTCTGAATCAGCAATCTGTCTTGTAGATTTTTCTGGCGATTCAAGGTCACTGTCGTCCTCCGAAAAAGAAGCTCTTGTTATAGATATTCGAACTTTGCTGGGATTATTTGGATTAGCATCATCTTCGACGAACTCATTCTCCATGGTTTCCGCGTGGTGCTAATAAACTTTTCAATTCTCTAGAGCGTTACGGCAGCAAATCGGAGGGTTGTTTACGTTCACATTATTATTCGTGTCACCTGTGGCAACCCAGACTGCAGTAAATATTAGGTGATCACGTGACTAACCACTTGGCTCGCTGTTGCATGTTGGTTAGGACAGGTAAGTAAATGTATGTTGGTTGGACTAGATGTAGATGAAATTACGCTCGCTTCACCCTCTCTACCTTTTCGAAATTTCGGCCCACCGAGGATATATTAGGTGTAAGTAACTTTTCCCCAATATATGAGTTTCTTTACAAAATCAAAGCCATGCAGACCAGGCCAGAATCTTATTCGCTCCTAGCTGAAAAAATTATACCTTTATGGGGCGCTTTCGGGCTCTTCCAATACTGAGAGTGAAACGCCTGGGGACGAGGTTCCTGCTGACCGGACAACCTTATTACACCTAAATGAGTCTTTAGAGTGAACATCTCATGATAGGAGAAAACCTTTGAAGGGAGACTAGCTTTCTGAGGCGATAGAAAAATCACAACGCATGTTTTTTGGACGAATTACTGTCCTTTTACCACAAAATATAAAAAGACCCTGTTTAAATGTCGCGCAATCGTCGGTTTAAATTCCTACGAATTTAATTCAGAGAGCAACTAGCGATAAGACTGAATTGATTTCGTCCAGTACGTTTTATCCCTGTTGGTAACACGAATAAAACGGTGCGAATTCGGTATAGAAGTCGCTCATCAGACGTGTCGAGTTAAATACATACATTATTTTGATTTATCAAATAAATTGTGGTATATTACAAGGCAAGGATTTCCAGCCCTGATAAAAGCCGTAACACCATACTTGTAAAATTACGAAATTTTTTTTAACGCCGTAGAAACACGGTGTGTGTTGTCACCAATCAGCTGCTGACACGTCGCTCGCCTTTCCCGCCACTCGGTCAGCTTGATGAATGAATGGCAATGCGTACAGCATTGGCAGTCCGAGGTCGCTTGTCAAAATTTTCCCAGATTATGGGGTCGATCAACTCGAAGCTTCGACATTATGCCCCCTCCCTCCGACAAGTCCTTGAGTATTTGAGGATTGGCCAGTTCAAATCCCGCCCTTTCAGGCCAAAATTGTGTATAAAAACTGTAAATGACCCACCCAGTGTTCAACGATTATTTGTGTGATCGACGAATTTTGTAGAGTTTAGCAAATTTGCGTATTAGTTTTCAGTCTTGCTGTTGAATTTTTCGCTCGTAATTATTCTACGATGTAAAAACGTTTTCCAAGCCATTCGCTCACGAAAGCAGACTCTGTACATTAAAAATCCTTTATTAAAACACGTGTATTCCGCTTCCCGCTCAAATGTTCCACCCCACCCAGGCAAGGTTCAAATTCCCTAACCTAGGGCACGGAATACGGGAAAATGCCAGTGGGTTGCCCAGGAGGGGGGTTTTGAAGCATTGAATTCATCGGCGCATTATGGCTGCTAACAACAATGAAACACAGGCATGCTACGCATGCAGGAGTTATTTTTTTAAGATACGTAGGTTGAAATAGGACAATATATAACTGATGCTGGTGTCTGAGTCTCCTCCACAGCCCTAATTTGAACTTCTCTCTCTCTCTCTCTCTCTCTCTCCAAACAACGACTTGCTCATAGGTTAAAATTGTGCTTATTGCCGTTCCTTCGTCAGAGACAAAGTCCTAGTTACTATTCTGACCATTCAGGGCCAGAATCAGAAATTCCATTTGGTTTTTCCTGTGCAACAAAATGCACAATAGCGCGCAACGTAAAGTAATGTGGTGGACATATCCAGGGAACGAGGTTGAGTTTTGGCATCAAGTGTCAGTCAGATTTGAAGTACTGGCCCGCGCATCAACGATAAGCTTGTTACAGTTTATACTCATCTTCCGAGTAAACTTAAAATGTTTATTTAAGGTACAAACAACCTAGTACCATGAATCACTACTATTGAAGTACTGATGAAAACAACCCTTGGGAACAGTAAAAGTTTTGGCCGATTGTTTAAATTCGATTAATTAATACAATCGTCTTTAATATGTAAACATTGGCGATTGAATCCATCCGTAAATTAATATTGCGGACAAAACAATTATACTTTTCTGGCCAAAAAAAACTTGTGGAAGTCACTGCCCCATACTTTTAATTTCAATCAGTTAAAAAACTTGAGGTCTATAAATTACCTTCTGTGATATATCGTTCCGAGGCAAAAAAATCTTCAAAGGTTTGTCATTAGATGTAAGCAAGAGAAATCCTTGTAAACAAAGTCATCGCGTTCAAACGCAAATTTTTAATGAGTGATCCCGCATTTCCTCTGGCGATTTTAGTATTTCCAAATTGTCATGGATGGCATAACTCTCCATGTTAACAAGCTATAAAAAAAAACACGACAGCGATTTTGCTAAAACAGCAAAGCCCTAAATTCGAACCAATTCAATTCAATCCGCTGATCCACAAATCCGGCCCAAATATAGGCTCCGTGTAGTCTCTTGTTCAGTAACAGATGGTTGCCTCAAAATAATCTTCCATGTTATTTTGCAGTGTAAAGCTCTATTTTATCTCTTACAGCCTCTGGACAAAGATATTTCCCGGTCTCCGTTCTTCGAACAGTGAAAGTAGATTGAACCAAGAGAAGTATCACTCTTCAAAGGATAATAAGGTGGGCCACTTGATTGGTTGTTGCCTATCTGGACTTTGCCCTGTGCGTGCGAAATACGTGATAAAATGCAGGTTGTTTACAGGAAATTGACACGCAATGGGGTAAAGTCCAGGTTAGCTAAAAGCGAATTTTATTGGTAGAAAACGTCTAAGCACGTGAGAGTTGCGTGGAAAATTAACCGACCGTACCATTCTGTCCCTTGTGAAATATTTTTCATTGAGGTAGATTTATGTCATAAAATTTGCGTTGTTTACTGGAAAATGGCATTTCATCTAAAAAAATCTAATCCATACTGGCGAGTAAAAAGTAACACGCAATTGTAACGGGAAAGTATCGTTTAAACAATATTTAATTCATGGAGGACTTTTAGAAGCAAAGAAACGGATATGTAACATGGCAGTCGACGCAGAAAGTAAATGTAACTTGGTGGTCGTTTCAACCGCTGCTAAAAGAACAACCATATGGCAAAAAAAA